CTGCAATGATAACCATCCATATTTGTTTCTTCAAAACTATAATGTTGTTGTTGTTGTTGTTAGTTGCAAAGTCGGTCCGACCCATCGCGACCCCATGGACAACGTTCCTCCAGGCCTTCCTGTCCTCTACTATCTTCTGGAGTCCATTTAAGCTCACGCCTATTGCTTCAGGGACTCCATCCAGCCACCTCATTCTCTGTCGTCCCCTTCTTCTATTGCCCTCAATTTTTATAGTCTAAAAACGTATCAGTTTATGTTTGGGTGTTCTTCAGGACCTTAACTTCTACCATCACCACCATTTCTTCCTCTTCTGTTTCCTCCTCCTCCTCCCTACCCTTTTTATTGTTAGAGCTTGTGAGATTTTCTTCCTAAACTGCCTGGATGAATTCACTATATCCTGTGAATTGGGGAATAAAGCACCATTTGGTACTCTGCCTCTCACACTAAAATGTCTTTCCTTCTGGCCACACACACACACCCTGGCTCTTTATGATACAGCTCAATAGAGGCTCACAGTTGGAACAAACAGAGTGTATAGTATACCCCATGCTTGGTAAATAAAGGTAAGGTTCAAAAAAACCACTTTCTTTTGAAATACATGTATTGACATGTTTTATTCTAGAAGTTTCTGAGGCATGCAGAAAAAGCTGAATTTGACTTTTCCTATTTTGCAGAAGCAAACTCCCATCAAGATAGCCTGAAATATTTTAAACATCCCTTAAAGAGGAGAAATTTTGCTTAGATTTTTATAAACCATTGATTTCTTTCTTATTATAATTCATCTCATTACTATAACTGGAATTGTAAAACTTGTTAAATAAACAAATGCCTTAGCTAAGGATGGTTTCTTGCTCTATGTTTCACACGCGCGCACACACACACACACACACACACACACACATATACACATATGAGAGAGAGAGAGAGAGAGAGGGAGAGAGAGAGAGAGGCTACTGTACTGAAATAAATATTTGGTCTGCAAACACTCTTTAAAGATACTTTTATTGTAAGTAAAAAAAATCCCCTTTAAAAATAATAAAAGCAACAGATGGAAAAGATTATATTAATACAATTTTGTTTAGAAGTGCTTCCAATCCAGAATTTGAAATGCAGGCAATTGAATTAGTAGCTACATGTAAATTCTCTTCAAAGACTAGTTTTCAAGAAGAATTTTGGAAATTAGTTGCACTGTAGAAGAATGTTGGCTAAATGTACTGCTCTCCCTATGTTTCAATGTTATTAGTCTTTGTCTAATAACATAGGAAATTTATTTATTTGTTTTACCTAAATTTCCTTGTAAATGACACAGAAGTTATGAACACCCATATGTAGAGGCTTACAAGTTTTTGTATCCTGGATGAGTTTGAGCAAATAATAATTACTGAGGTGGGATATTTTTTCTGTGTGCTATATCCTGTTTACCCAGAGTCCTTTTGCATTAAAGAATGCAAACTGAATCAAAAAAACTTTTCCCACCATCAATTACATATTTTGACTTTTTGGCTACAAAATTGGGGCTGCATTACACAATGATTGTTTCTGATATGTCAAACTAGCTTACAAGACTGATAATTTAGGCTGGGTTATTTCTTGTCTATTTCTGAATTATAAAAAACTAAAATCTCCAAGTTTAATTCAGATTCTAATGACTCCGGATATTTTAACAACAATACAGAAGCAGTTTGCCACACTGACTTCCTTTAAAAGAGTAGAATAGAACAGAATAATAAAGTTGGGACTTTAGAAGTCTTCTAGGCCAAACCCCTGCTCAGGCTGGAAACCCTATATCATTTCAGACAAATGGTTGTCCAGTCTCTTCTTAAAAACTTCCAGTGTTGGAGCATTCACAATTTCTGGAGGAAAGTTGTTCCACTGATTAATTGTTCTAACTGTCAGGAAATTTCTTCTTAGTTCTAGGTTCCTTCTCTCCTTGATTAGTTTCCATCCGTTGCTTCTTCTCCTGCTTTCAGGTGCTGTGGAGAATAGCTTGATTCCCTCTTTTTTGTGGCAATCCCTGATATATTGGAACACTGCTATCATGTCATCTACCATCTTGATTTTTTTTTGACCATACGTCATTTCCCCAACAACAAATGGAAGGGTTGGGTAATAAAGACTGGGTAGCTTGTTCCTCAAGGAATTCACCACTGGCCTTCCCATAAGGCTTGGATAGTTTAGGAAATCCAGAGATTCCTTGGTAATTTATTCTTCAGCAAGTTCATGTCGGAACTGGGCCAGTTTTGTTTTATTTTGTCAGAAATAACTAGGAATTTTCCTACAGCACTGGTAGAAAAACTGAGAAATGTTTTCATTTTCACTGAAATCAACAAAAAAAAAAATGACAGTCACAAACTTTGTGTGTTTGAATGAATGTTTGAGGATCCCTCCATTTTTGACCTTCAGATGTTTATTTGAGGTATCATGAGAATACAGCCAGAACATAAGACTCTGTCTCCCTCTCCCCCCTCCCTCTCTGTCTCTGTCTCTCTCACACACACAAACACATCTGCATATAAAATTGGTGCAGTGTATAATACTGTGTATTATAGAAATGGGACAAGTTATGCACACATCTAGATGGAACCATGGATCCACATAAACTTTTACACCATCAATCACCCAAACAGAGATTAACTTTTGGTGGTGACTTCCATGATTTAAATTAAGATTCTATGCAGAAAACACTATTATAGAAAAAAGATGTAATACACTCACAGTTGTACAAAAATATTGTATTTATTAAAGTAACAATTGTACTAAACAACCTATATTTGAAATGCTTTGAATTATTGCTAGAATAAATACAGGCAATAAATTCAATATTTTTTAATAAAAGGAAATGAATTATTTGACACTCAAACGTTATTACCCAAAGCTTTAACTTATACAATATAAATAGTTAAAAGGCAAAGTCAAGTTTCTTTTTTTCCCCACCTGTGTTGTTTATTTATTTTGTTTCATATTTTAAAAAAATGTAATACTGATCGATTCGGTATTAAAAAGGCTCTTCCCCATGCCCAGCTGAAGTGTATATCAAAAACAAATTTGCAAGCAAGCATGCTTGTCTCCATATCACAGACAAATAAAGGGAAGTGTGTTGCACATCATTTTATGACAGAGAAAGAAGCAACCTGCATCTTAATAAAAGATTGTTAAAGAGAATCAGATGAATGTATTTTCCAAAATCCAGTTAAGAAACTAGAAGTGCAAACCAGTGTGATGCTGATAATACTTCAGTAAATATCCTTTGAGAGTTAGTATTATATAATTTTGCCCACCCCATAGGCATAAGGCCCCAAATTTTTATTTTTCTAAACTAGTACCATACTTATAGGCATAAGTAAAACAAACTCTGTTTACAAACATGTCTATCAGCATTTCTTAACGTTGACCATTTTAAGATGTGTCAGCAGAATTCATGCTGGCTGGGGAATTCTGGAAGTTGAAGGCCACACATCTTAAAACGGTCAACGTTGAGAAAAACTGGTGGAATAGATGGAATTACTACAGCCCATGTCCATGTTTGTTCATTTCATGGAGTTATATCTAGTGTGCTCATATTACCCTGGAATAAATCGTATTCATTTTTGTGGGTATATAGCAAACACCTATGAGATTATATTATTAATCACATCTCTATTAAAATCAATGGGACATTATAGTTATTTAAGTCATCTTCCAGAAGCTGGCATTCTTCTGATTGGTAAGATTGCAGTTTCCATCCACCCTTTACACCAGTGGTTCTCAACCTGTGGGTCGGGACCCTATTTGGGGTCGAACGACCATTTCACGGGGGTCACCAAACAACACAGTCCACCATTTCCCCCCCCTTTTCCTTAGCTGTGCTACTCCCTTTTCTTCTATTGGCTTTTGAAAGCCAATAGAATAGACTCTTTTGAATAGAGTCTAATTCTATTGGCTTTCAAAAGCCAATAGGAATTGTCCAGGCTGTCTCTGCCCTGCTGAGCCCGCCAAAAGTCCCATTCTGTAAATGGTGCTGCACCAGTTGAGTAGTCCTTGACTTATGACTGGTTGAGTAGTCCTTGACTTACGACCGGTGGGGGGGGTCACGGCATTAAAAAGGTTGAGAACCACTGCTTTACACCCTTACATGCTGACTGAGAATACTGGATGGAAAATTTTTGAGATGAGATTTTTGGTTAATATGTGACTAACCTAACTTTAGCTCCAGCTAATGTGTTTAAAAGCTTGGGAAATAAGGAATTACTTTTCAGTTTCCAAACTTGGGTCTTCGGATTGAAAAATGATGTACAAATTCCTTTTAGTTGCATTTCCTGTGTGTGCATTTTTTAAAAAAAAAATCACTTTCACTAACATTGATTTAAAGTTACTGTGGTTTATAAATCTTTTGGTTTTATTTTAGTGGCATTTCTGTATCATTTAAACATTTCTGGGTAATACAGGAAGCAAGAATACTGGATCGTGGTTACCAATCTGCTACATGATTGAGTACCTTTATAAGTATCTTTGATTATGCCATGTATCCCCAGTCAGATTTGCTACCTTGCTCCAAGATAGCAATATCAATAGCATTTAGACTTATATACCACTTTATAGCACTCTCTGATAGGTTTACAGAGTCAGCATATTGCCCCCAACAATCTGGGTCCTCATTTTACTGACCTCGGAAGGATGGAAGGCTGAGTCAACCTTGAGCCAATCTGGATCGAATTCCAGGCTGTAGGCAGAGCCTGCAATACTGCACACTAACTATTTCACCGCCATAGCTCTCAAAGATCTTCACAGATTTTTTGCTAAAACAGAGATTATGGGATTTATTCATCTTTCAGGAAATATATTCTGTTTTGTAATATTGTAATATCCAAAGCACCTGAAGTCAGGACAAGAAGCAACGGATGGAAACTAACCATGGAGAGAAGCGACCTAGAACTAAGGAGAAATTTCCTGACAGCGAGAACAATTAATCAGTAGAATGACTTCCCTCCAGAAGTTGTTAGTGCTCCGACACTGGAGGTTTTTAAGAAGAGATTGGATAATACTTTGTCTGAAATGGTATAGGGTTTCCTGCTTGAGCAGAGGGTTGGACTAGAAGATATCCAAGGTCCCTTCCAACTCTATTATTCTGTTATGTCTGGGAGGGGGAAACAATTGCACATATCTATCCCTTTGGCCTTAATGGGGCAGAATGCCCTTCAGTACAACCCACACTGAATACAAAGAGTTGTGCATAATCACTTGGAGAAAAGAATTCCCAGAATTAGGGGGAGCACTCTGCAGGTGTAACAAATAGTAGAATTATTGGAAGGAAACTGGGAAAATAGACATGGAGAGCTACAGTTCTGGCTGTTTTTACCAAAATAATGAAAGAACTGTTGCAATATAAGCCCTGCCTCTTTTGTACATGCAGGTGATGTTATGATGCATCTACAGAAGGGGCGGGGCTTGCAGCAGTGTGATGCACAATCATCAGATGGACTGGTTTGACCCATGCTCATTGAACAGAGAGCAAGGGATGAGATTCTTTTGAAAAATAACACTTGATGGGCTGCTGTAGAAGACCTCTTTAGAAGTTTCTCTCACCGTTTTTCTATCCCCATAAACTGACAATTTGCTTTTTCCAAATAAAATTAAAGCAAGTCGCACATGTTTATATATATACTGTAATAGAAATAGCCATCCATCCATTGAAAAATACAGAAATTAAGTTTTATTCTTAAAAAACAGAGAGCATCCATTTTCACATTGTGGGCAAGGGTGTTTTTGTTTTTAAACCTTTTATCTTAAAGTAACAATTGTTCAACACTTATTTAGAAAAAGGGCTGCAAGTGGGATGGGAAGAAAAGATTTTTGGCAGTAATATAAAATACGAGCTTTTTTTAAAAAAAATGGTGTAAAAGGTAAACAAAGACAAATTATTACAATGATATAAAAATACAACTGGGTCATCCACTCTTATAAAAAATGACTTTGGAATTGCATTTGGCAGTTTCACACACACACACACACACACACACACACGTGTCACATCATTCTAAAAAAAAATCACAGAACAATGAAAAGAAGTTTATAAATTATGGTTGCAAGGGTCATCAAATCCTTTGCTTGTGTCTCCAAAACTCTCTTTCTTCTGTGTCTGTCCATATCAGGGTGACTAATGAGGTATATAGGACATTAACACTTTCGGACATACGCATGATAGAAGAAAGTGCATTTTCAGAGACCACCCACAGGAATGGGTTGAATCCATGATTTTTATCCTCCTCCCCCTACCAAAAAAAGGCACAATCACATTTTTATTTTATTTTTTGTTTTTTTTTCTTTTGCTTTGGCATGCTTCGTTAATGTTCAAGTCCAAGCAGCAGTAATCCTTTCCCCTTAGCGATGTCAAATTCAGTGCCACCAACTCTGAAAAGGTTTATTTTCATGTCCCTTGGGGGAAAAAAAAACTTTGCTAAGGGCAGCAAAAATGAAACAACAACAATAAAATGTCCAGCTGGTGAAATCACACATCAAGCACCATATCGTATTGTTGTTCCTTCTTCCGCCGGCCACATTTAGTGATAAGAGCTAAATATAAAGTCAAAAGCATTACCCAGTAGCAGGCGTAAAGTATTGTGCCAATGATCAGCACTGTCTGTTTTGATTCAGAAAATGGCTTTCTAGATTCCTTGTATATGGTGAAAATAACCCCGCCTAGAAGGATTGTAAACCAAACGGACACGGGGATGAGTCCTATGAAATTGACCACAATAGTTTTTCGGCCAGATGTGCCCCATCCTGCCTTGTTTATGGTGGCTATTGCAAACATCTTGGCTGGAAGCAAACTTGACATGTACAACACTGAGTAAAGGGACATAAACACCATAACGATGTTCCCTCTAAGGCAGCTCGCAAAGGAAGACTTGATGAGGCCAACAAGTTGAACAGTCAACAAGAAGAGAAGGATGTTCCACAGTTTCCCCCGGTAAAAAAGTTGTATAACAGTGGCAATGAGAAAAAACGGAAAGAACCCTGTGATGACTGCCTCGTAGGTCATCCACAAGTGATGCTTGTGGAACCACATGGCGTTGTACAGCCATTCACGGAAATAGGACTTACTCCAACGGGTCTGCTGGTTCAACCATCTGAGATATTCAATGGGTGTTTCCGTAAGGCACTTTGATCGAGCGGTGTACTTTGTTGCATAGCCCAGGCTCAGGACTCTGTTGGTGAGATGTCGATCATCTCCAAAGCTACACTGAGATCCCATGAATTCTTGATTATACCAATCTTCCACGAATTCATGGAGTAAGGAGTTCCTGTACATCCCTAAGGGTCCACTGATACACTGTACACAGCCAAAGTAGGACTGGCATGCTCGTTCAATATTAAATGCCATCCAGTACCTGACACTGCTGAGAAAGGAGATCCATGAATCGTACTTGTTCAAAATCTGCAAGAGAAGGTTAACAATTAGTTCCTGAGATAAAGACAACAAGGATATCCTTGACTTAAAGCTGTCAATGTTTTTTTTTAATGTTGTAATGTGGAAGGTTCCTTATTTATTGTTTACATTCACCAGCTCTTATATGCGTAAGAATAACCTCTGCACAATAACATTTCTCAAGATCTTAGGATGTCCCAAAAATTGTTATTGCTTTTGCTGCTCTAGTAGTAAATTAAGCCAAGAGTTTCAAAGACCCAATATTTTAGTTTGGATAAATTTCTTTGCTTTGCTTTACTTTTTGTCATTATTCTGACTGAGAGAGTTCAAATCCAATCTTCAGTAATTCATCAGACCAATAACCACTGTCTTAGTATTTAATATGTATTCAACAGATTTATATGTCACCTTTTTCTGATGGACAGGTAGTCCTTGGTTTATGATCATAATGGAGCCTGCCCACTAGTTCTAATCTCATAAAACCAGCTGGGGGTCATTGGGCTAGTCACTCTGACACAGGAAAGAGGCCTGGACAAACCAGTTCTGAAATCTTGTGAAGTAAACTGTAGAGACTTGTCCAAGCAGTCATGAAAAGTCAAGACATACATGAAAGCACCAAAACACAAAAATGCTGAATTAAAGTCAAAACAATTACTATATTCACCTGTACATCTCCTCCAACACCACCAACCATTGGATCTTCTTCTAAAACCTTCACCATTTCCACCGAAGATGCTGGATCGAGCATCGTATCTGAATCGCATACCTATCCATAAAAGAAAGAAAGAAAAAAAATTAAGAAAGAGACCAGGGTAGGTTTGTTGAAAAATAGAACTATAAGCAATTACTTAGTTAAATAATAATGCTTGCCTGTTGATATTTTCTCATTGGATTTCCCAAGAAATCTCATAATGCTTAAATTCAATACTGTGATTTAGCAATTGTTTAGCAATGAATTGGAAATGCAGAACAGGTGTACCACAATGTAAAATGTACCAGAGTGTCTTTAGAATATTGGCCAAAGAGACTTGTGAAATTGATGGTAAATTTGAAGAAACAAATCTCTGCAGGGTGCTTGCTTTATATGGAGAATATAGTCTGCTATCCCATCCCCCTGAATGTTCAGTTGGTTTTTTTGCACTTAATTTGGATCTCTAAAAACCCACCCAATGGAAATTATATTGCTTGTTCTTTGCAAGCAGTGTTAAACACAAAGTAGTGGGCATATCACTTCAATAAGCTACAATTCATTACAGATAGTCACAACTGAGACCAAAATTGTTGTTGCCAAGAGACAACAATTTGTCTGAAATGGTATAGGGTTTCCTGCTTGAGCAGAGGGTTGGACTAGAAGACCTCTAAGATCCCCTCCAACTTTGTTACTCTATTATTTTGTTATTATTCTTTCCCATTGACTTTGCTTGTCAGAAGGACACAAAAGGTGTTCACGTGACCTGAGTCACTGCCAAGCATCTGAATTTTGATCGCATGACCATGAGGATGCTGCAATGGTCGTAAGTATGAAAATGGTCGCAAGTGCTGTTGTAACTTTGAAAGGTCACTAAATGGATGACTATATGTCAAGGTCTCATCACCATCCTCGTCATTTTAGCCATTGTCCATCTACTGCAGGATGAAGGCCTCTTCTGCATGTTTTCCAACCAATATAGTCCTGAGTTTTGTTTTGCCAATTGGGCCCGCAATACTTGCTGATGTTGTGGATCCATTTTGTTTTAGGTCTCTTTTGTGGATGCTTTTTATTAAGTGGGATCCATTCTATGACTGCCTTGGTCCACCTGCCATCAGTTCGTTTTCCTGTGTGACCATCCCATTTCCATTTCAATTCTTTTACTCTCTTGATGGTATTGTATACTTCCGTTTGTTCTCTAATCCATGTGCAGGTCTTTCTATCTTGTCTTGTAATGCCGAGTATGCATCTTTCCAAGGCTCTTTGCACCACTCCTAGCTTTTGTATTGATTGTGAGGTTAGTGTCCATGTTTCACTGGCATATGTTAAAGCAGGTAGCATACACCGAACAAAAACTTTTCTCTTCAAGCATAGGGGGAGTTTGTTCTTGAAAATTATGCTTAGCCTGGCAAATGCCTGCCAATCACATTTAACACTTCATTCAATTTCCCTTATTGTATCACCTTCCATTGAGATCCGTTGGCCAAAGTATATGTAGTGGTTCTTCTCTAGAGTGAATTTTTTTTCTTTCTTTGGTGAATAAAGGTTATCTTGTCTTGTCTTATCATCTTATCTCATCCTAGATCTTATATAGAACAGGATAAAAAAACACAAATTGGTGGGTGCTTTGCACTGTTCCTGGAGAGAGAGAGAGAGAGAGAGAGAGAGAGAGAGAGAAGATTGCATTTGGTGCCCCAGTTCAAATGTTTCCCACTGTCCTAAGGGGGAATGAGTGATGACTGAACTTACAGATGCTTAAAAAAAAATTGGCAGAGGATCTGGGAAGAAATGTGATAGCCCTTTTTGCTCACAGAAGATTTAGCTATTTATGTGAAATATATACCTTGGATTCCACCATCCAGCTCTCTTTGAACTCGCAATTCATGGGGCTCCACACTTCTAAACATTAATAAAAGTCTGTTTCACTCTTATGTTTAGAGTGCATGTTATTTTATTTCCTGATTATATGGTCATGTTTCCAATGGACTGGGAAGGGAATATATTTTTATACTTCTTAAAATGTGAAATAGATAGCTCTTTTGAGCACGGTTGTTGTGAATACAACTAGTATTTGTGTTGTATATACAGCACACTTTGCATCGCTTGGTTTTAAAAAATTTTTTAGTGGCTATGTGAAATTTGGTTTATTTTTAATCTTGCTGGAGGTATGTGTGTGTTAAAGTGCTATGTAAACCCAACCTCTCTGGCTGGTTTATGGTTTACAGTACTGTGTAAACTGAGAGAATGGGTTAATTCAGTAAGCAAGCAGATTTGTGAACACATTCTATGAACTATTGCAATTTTGACTTTAGTCCATGGTTTTCTGGAGGATCTATGCGCATATCAGTATAGTGTAAATGGGATTACTCTTATTTCTTCTATGTCCAGCCCTTGAAATGCACAAAACACTTTTGAATTTAAAGTTTTGAATTCAATTCTGAGCTTAAAATCAAAACAGTTGCTTCAGATTCAAGAAGGATTAACTTGAGCATTTTGGTTGAACATCAGAGGGCCTGTTTAAGCTCAAGAATTTTCTTGCACCCCTTAACAATACCTCATCTCTTCTATAGATCTGAGGCATCCCTGACAATCATCTACTTCATGTGCTACTTCCAGCATACTCAACAGACTCCATTGGTGTTCAAATTTATAAAGGAGGAATTTCATACAAAAAGGGACATTTCAAAGATCAAGGCAGAATAAAGAAAAGGGAGAAAATTATTCTTAATTTCAGAGCAAGCCAGACCCTCAATATTTTGAGAGAATCCATTCAGGAACTGAAGGCAACTTAAGGCAACTTAAGATAATTAAAAGAATATGCACAATATTGGACATGCTAATTAAATCAGTATGATTAAACTCAAAATTAAAATCACTTGTTAAAATCAGCCTTCTTCCTTTGGAAGAACATTGGATAAACTTTCAATACAGAAATAAAGGTGCCCAAAAGTTTCAGATTTTGAAAAAAAATGAGAGAATATAATGTTTTCAAGCCAAGCAAACACTGCTTCTACTTTCCTAATAGGGCCTCAATGCCTGTGATTCATCATGATCAAATCATTAAAGTTAGATGAAACCTAGTGACTCATGGGGAGAAAACATCATGTGTAAAATAATAAAATAAAATTGAAATTATATCTGAATTCTAAATTATGGAGTTACTGCCAAATTTCAAGTTGGTGTGACCTAATAGTAAGAGCAGTTTAAAATTGGAGATAATGGTTAAGAAAGGTGGAGGTCCATCTCCTGGATGTTTGGCTGCCATCTCTCTGGGCTGCTTTAATTTGGATTTCTGCATTACAAAGGGGTTGAATGATCTCCAGAATTCTGCCACTTCATTTCTGTATTTATTAATGGCCAGATGTTTTGCTTCAACCCACTTCTGGATTTCTAGTACCTGTCCTCCCTGGCTAACCTAATAATCTTGCTTCCCATGGCCAGGGTGTTGAGTGTGAGCAGCTGAAATCCCCACTCATTTTGCTGCTCTCGTGCCCATCCCTTGCAGAAGAATCATCTAGATGAGCAACTGTGTTTTTCTTTGACACTAACAATGGGGCCATGGTTTTCAGGATGATGAGTACCCAGTTCTCTCTCTTTTGCTGCCCCATAGCACCTGCTGCTGGCAGTGATCACCTCATTTTGCTCAGCAATAGGGCCGGCTTATTAGGGAATTTTATACCCAGTGTCCAAATAGAGTCAGAGACCCTGATATGGACTTGTAGTTTTATATAAATAAATATTTTTTATAACTATATATACAGGAAACTAGATAGTCAGGCAAACAGGAGTATCATCAGGTAAATCAACATAGCAGGAATATCATGAGGTAAAAGCACACAGAGGAAAAAGGCGGGAAACAAGGAAACTCCCCCTTTTCACTGAGCAACCAATCACAGCTCAGATTCCCTCATGCAGTGGCCAGTTCTCTTCAACCAGTTTGCTGTAACTGTGTGTTCTTACTCATTGTCCAACCTTTCATGGTTCCCGCTATTAAATTAAAAATCTTAACGGCTTTTGTGGGTCACCCAAAAAAAAAAAAAAAGATAATGCAGAGAATCTGTCCACATCTCTGTACACGTAAGAGGGTATCAAGAATACAAATATACTGGTGATTAATACAAGCAACTTGCATGAGTGAAATACAGTTCGGGGGATAAGCTTTCCCCCAACATCACCACCCAATTCATTTTTAGGGGGTAATGCATGGGTGGAGATGTCTACTAGATATAGCCCAGCTGACAGATAATCCCCGCCTAAAGCTTGCACTTTAGAATTGGGGAGTTGGCCTGGTCTAATTCATTTTTAAGTGAACAGTATCAACCAAGGCTTTAAAGACAAAGCTTTTGCCTTGAGTGAGGTAATGCAGCTGTGGAGGCTGAAGCCCAAGAACTTGGCTGAAGGACTAGGCTTGTTTGTATTTCTAAGCTTTCCCCCACCTTCCTGACCCAACCCGCTTTCCCTCCCTGCTTCTTAAAAAGTTTTAATAGGACTACAAACTTTCCATTTTCATAGATGCTGCCAAACCTTTGAGATTCTCTTTTGAGATGTAAGACCGTATGTTCACATAAGAGGGCCTCTGAGAGGCTCACAGAATGAACTAAGCCTTCAGTTCCTAGCTGGGATTATTGTTATCTTTTTTTTTTTAAAAAAAGAAATGTGCTTGATGATTTTTTTTCCTTGGAAAAAAAAGACAATAGAAAAAAACTTTTAAAGGAAGACAGAGAGAGAAATGTAGTCTTAATATTAGATAACATTGGCCTGGAATCTTAGGTGTTTTATCAGCCAGATTTGATAACTTATCTTGGATCACACGTTTAGATCATCTGCCGGTTTGATCTAGTAGTTAAGGCACCAGCCTAGAAATCAGGAGAGGGTGAGTTCTAGTCCCACCTTAGGCCTGAAAGCTAGCTAGGTGACTTTGGACAAATCACCAGAAGACTGTGAGTTCTAGTCCTGCCTTACTCATGAAAGCCAACTGGATGACTTTGGACCAGTTACTCTCTCAGCTCAACCAATCTCACAGGATTGTTATTGTGTGGAAAATAAGCTGAAGTAGTATTAAATATGTTTACCAGCTTCAGTTACATAGCAAAATAATAAAGGTGGAATATAAATAAATACAAATAAATAAAATATATAAACTGTCCTCTGTTGCTCTGTGGTGTATCTGAACTTCCACTTGTGATAGCAGATCAAAGGTATGAGGGAAATCAAATATCAGAAAAAAAACTTTGCTAACTCAGCCTAAAGTCCCACCCATTCAAACTTGTATTTCCACAGTGGCCAATCAGAAGTTTTCTGAGAAGCCAAAAAGTGAGCAATGAGCATAATGACTTCCTCCTGCTTGGGTTCTCAGCAGTAAATATTGAGAAGCAAACTTCTATGCAAACAGAAGAAATGGTAATTCCAGGCAAAGTAGTAATTACAAAAGCAAACTGGAATCTTGACATACTAAGGCTCTTTATGTAGATTCTTTTCTCCCATCTCCTGTAACAATATTGAGGATATTTTTCTTAAAAAGTGACTCCTAATATTACATATAATGTCTAATGATGGTAATTTCAGTCTAAAAAAATAGGATCCAAATGTATAAATGTGGTCAGGATGTTATTCAGGTAGTCCTCAACTTACAATCATAATTGAATCTGCCTATCATAGTTGTAAAATGGGTCAGTCATATGACCAACCTTTTTTTGCAGCAGTTGTTAATTGGATCAGCATGGTTGTTAAGAGAACTGATGATTTGCTATGGGTGCGGTTTTACCAAAAATTGGAGATAAGTGTTGGTTTTCGGCAAAACTGTTATAAAATGCAGTCACATTTCCGTGGGATACAACAAACAACCATGAATGCAGCCATGTTACCAAGTGTGTTAGTTGTGTGACTGAGGGAAGGGGTAAATGTTGGAACTTTGAATCCAGGTCATAATTAACCCCAAGATAAGTCTACAGTAAGTCAAAGATTACCTGTAGGCAGGTTGTTTAATAGGCATATTTTTCACTATGTTGACTACATACTACTTGTAGTTGGGCATAGTTTCACTATGTTAACAGTATACTATCTATGGTAAAATCCTGTTCTTTCTTCTTAATAGTTTTTTATCTTTAAACTGACCAGCCAGCGGAAGGCAACCTCAAACTAAATACTGCATCTGTACAGACCACAATTATTGTGAAGTATTTAAGACCTCATGGCCACATTTGGGTCCCCCTAAATATTGGTGCAATCCTCAAGAATCCTCAAACATTAAATTGCCATATTTAGTCTGAAGAGGAAAATTATTAAGTCCACAGCTAGAAAATAATCATATTGTCTCTGATGAGTTGTAATTCAGTGCCACTGCATAGCAATTGAAATGAAATCAAATTTAGTTTTGCTCTGCCTACCTCCACTACATGCCCCCACTACATCAAATGATACTTAGGAACCAAGTGCAATGTTTACTGCAGAAAAATACCTGCATACCTGGTTTAGTAAGTTAACCATTTTGGGTTGAATTCCTACAATGCTAAGCAATAGGAATCCCTGCGGATTTTACTCCGCTAGTCATTGTCAACTATATGGAATGGTACTCATCTCTGTTTCAAGGCCACTGAGCCAGCATTGTCCAAAGACACTTCCATGGTCATGAAGCCAGCATGATGTCATGGAGCACTGTTCCCTTTCCACTGAAGTGGTACCTATTCACATTTGCATACTTTCGAATTGCTAAGTTGGAAGGAGCTGGGGCAAAGACATAAGCTCACTCCATCATGTGGCACTCAGATCTCGAATTTGGGTTACCAGCTTTCCAGGCAACAAGCCACAGTGTCTTAATCACTGATCCACTAAGCAATAAAGCATCATTAATAAACTGCTCTGACTGACTTTGCATTGCATGTTACGTTAGCACCCATATTATAACAACCCATATTATAGCCTAGTTGAATTGGGTGAACTCAACTGATAAGGCCCATGGAAAAGCAGAGAGTACTCTGCTTTTTCTGCTGATAAAATACAGGTAGTCCTTGACTTATAACAGTTCATTTAGTGACCGTGCAAAGTTACAACATCCCTGAAAAAAATGACTTATGACTGTTTTTCACCCTTCCAACCATTGCAGCATGCCCATGGTCATGTGATTAAAATTTGGATGCTTGGCAACTGGTTCATATTTATGACGGTTGCAGTGTCCTGGGATGATGTGGTCATCTTTTGAGACCTTGTGAAAAGCAAAGTCAGTGAGGAAGCCAGATTCACTTAACAACTGTGTTACTAACTTGATAGCTGCAGTGATTCACTTAATAACCATGACAAGAAACATTGTAAAATGGGGCAAAACTCACTTAACAAATATCTCACTTAGCAGCATAAATTCTGGGCTCAACTTTGGTTGCAAGTCGAGGACTACCTGTACTTAGCTGCTGGCTGTAGCAGAGGTTAGTGATACGTAGCCATGTTTGACAATATTTAAGCTTTAAGAACAACCAAGGGATCATCTTTGCAATATGGCTATCAACACAAACAGATGGTTAGGGTAGAAGTTCTTTAGATGAAAAACCCGCTGAAACAAATCAGAGTTTGTTCACAGTGCCCCAGACTCTGTTGAGGTCTATGCCAACCTAGCAATGGAAGGCAATCAAATCCAGGCAACTACAGGCAGAAACGCTTCCCTGACCACAGTTCATTGCATGCTGTCTAGAACAGGGAATAATACATCTTGTGAGACACCTGGTAGAGTTGTGTCCCTTTCTGCTACCCCAAAAAAGTTCTTCAGGGAAGCTACTGGGGCTGTGTGGAATCAGATGCCCCAGGGTCTTTTTCTAAATCAATTAATTATCATCACAGAACTTGATGGCAAGTTTTCACCCTTCCCATTTGAGCCCTCATCACTGTCATTATTTGCCATCTGATCATCTTAACTATTTCAAAAGTCCAGCTTTTTCAACGGCTCTGCTGTTTTCCAATGGAGAGAGAAAGAGGCACACTGTTTGCATAAGGGGCAGGATGGGTTGGGTTGCAAACAGCTCAAAATATACAAAACTGGCTTTCTTGGGACGCCTGTTTTATTTGGCACTGAATGAGAATGTTTAGACCTACCTGTACATAATCCACACTTCTCCCCAGTGCTTTGAAGGCTGTGTACATGACTTCTCTTTTTCCACCCCATTTTTGCATGATGCAGACACTCTTGTTGGACAGGACCAGCTGAGTGACGTGTTGCATGCTTTCTCTGTGGGACTCTTCAGTCTCGTTGGGACCTCTCTGATGAAAGTTATTCCTCCAGATGTAAGTGGCAGATTTATCCCTGCCCATGATTTCACTAAAAATGTCCATCATGTAAACATCATCTTCAGAATTCCCATCGATTACCATAATCAACTTAATTCCAGGGTAGGTGAGCCTCTTCACGGAAAGTAAACATTTCTTTAAGTAGTCCGGGTCTTCTTGATAGGCAGCAATGCAAAGGGCAACAGTTTTGTTCAGCTTGATTGGCGTCTCGAGAGATCGGCGCATTTTACGGTGCTCGAGAAAGGCAAATAAGCTTTGGATGATAAGGTGGGATGCCAAAATAGCACCATAGAGTCCAAAGGAGAAATAATAGTTGTCTGTTTGGATAAACTGGTAGCCCACAATATAAGCAGCTGAAATTCCAAGCAGAAGAGATACTCCAAATAGGGTCGTTCCAAGAATTCTCAAGATGCATATAAACCTCTCACAATGCATCTGTAAAAACCAAAAAGAGAGTTATAATTTCTGCTCTTAGAAGCACTAAGCGAGTTACTTAGTAAAACAACTGAGGGATCAGTTTACTGCTTTGCAGTTTAGAATGGAAAGAGTTGACCTGAAGACCAAGAATCTAAGAATACTCGTTAGAGTATTTATTAAAAGGAGGCTTAATGTTACAAGTATTCCAATGAGGAGTCTGCTTACAAGTCACAAACACACACAGACACACACACATGCAATTTAGGGTGCTAAAGCTCTTCCATACTTCCTCCTACTTTTTAGTTACAAATATTAGGAAACTTGCCTTTTTTGTGAGACATTCCTTGTTTTGTCCCAAAGGTTCTTTTTAAAGAGGCAACTGGATTTTATTTGTTTTTTCTTGAAGAACTGAAGAAGCTTCTTTGGATGAGAACCAAAACGTCTTCAAGGAAACACAAAAAAAAATCCAGTTGTCTCTTGAAAAAGCACCTTTGGGACAACCATGACCTGGATGACTGAGAATCTCGATAAAATAACAATAATAGAGTCAGAAAAGACTTTTGAGGTCTTCTAGTCCAGGGCTTTTCAACCTTTTCATCCATTGTACCACTTTTAAGATATGGCAATATCCGAGTACCACCAGTCGTCTAGCAAGGGGTCAAAAACTTGATGACCCCCCTCCCCAAAAAAGGAAAAAAGTGATAAAGTACAGGTAGTCTTCAACTTACAACAGTTCGCTTAGTGACTCTTCAAAGTTACAATGACACTGAAAAAAGTGCTCCCCAAGCCACAGCCGAGCAAGACACCTGCCTGCCTGCCTGCCCAGGGCACTTTTCCTCCTGTCTGAGGTTTTCATTGTTGTGAGCATTTCTGTTGAGGATTGGCAGCGGGGGTGGGGTGGGGGTGTTTGGTTTTTATTCCCCCCCCCCGTCTGCTGGGTGGTTGCAGCAGGTTTTGGTCACTTCACATAACCCTGGGACACTGTGACCGTCATAAATATGAATCAGTTGCCAAGCATCTGAATGTAAATCACAAGACCTGGAGATGCTGCAACATTCCAGCTGATCAGCACTTCTTCTGGGCTCAGCAGAAACATCAGGATCAGTGCTGCTTTCCAACTGATTGGTGCTTCTTCAGGGCTCAGCAGAAGCACTAGGATCAGCGCCGAGCTCCAGCTGGAGCCTGGTACTGATCCTGGTGCTTCCCCTGAGCCCTGATAGCCCCGAAGAAGCGCCGATCAGCTGGAAAGCGGCACTGATCCTGGTGCTTCTGCTGAGCCCTAACAGCCTGCAGCTCCAGCCATCTCTCGCTCAGGCTTGTGCGGTGCTGCCACCAGTTCAGCTCATTCCCCTCCCCTGCTACCACTTTTCTGGGATGGTCGCGTATCACCTGCCAGGTGTTAATGTACCACAGGTGGTACCCGTACCACTGGTAAAAGCCCTGTTCTAGTCCAACCCCCTGCTCAGGCAGGAAACCCTATACATTTCAGACAAACGGATGTCCAGTCTCTTCTTAAAAACTTCCAGTGTTGGAGCATTCACAGCTTCTGGAGGCAGATTGTCTCCATAGACATTCCTTGTTTTAATAACCATCATTGTGAAAACTTACTTTCACAAGAGAAGAAAAGTAACTAATTCTAGACCACATTTGTTTTGGGCCACCAAAGGCTCTGGGCAGTTATAATAAAGCATCTCACCTCTCCATTATGAGGAAGACCCTTCAGAAGGAGGAGAGAAACAGTCTGCATCAGGGTAAAGTGGATGGAGAGACCACTGACCAGAAACTCAAGGAAAGCAAAAAAAAAAAAAAAAAAAAAAACCCACAATTTTGATATGGAACAAGAAAAGAGAGGTGTAGGTGGCTATGAAAATGGACAGGGGTGTGTGTTGAGGATGCTATTGTGATTCCTGTTCTTAATGGGCTTACTTTGTGCTGGAGTAGGCAGGATATGAGGATGACTCCCAGGTCATGTGAGATGCAGTTTGCTGGACAATTGAAACCATTGGCCACACTCAAGAAATCAAAACACTGGCTCTGCTTATTTTCTTAAAAGAAAGTAATTAACATTGCACAAACACGAAATCCAAAGTAACAGTAATAAAATAAAACAAGATTTTAAAAATCCCAAGGATTACTTTAATTGATTTATATGAAGTCCTCTTCTATAAATGGTATTATGGCCTATTCAGCTCCTTGTTTATTTCCCCAAAGTGGTGACTTCTACGTTAGGACAATCTGATGCCCTCCAGATGTTTTTGGACCATCACTCTTAGCATCTCATGAACTAATAATCAGGGATGGTGGGAATTTTGACTGAAGTATCTGGATGCACTGTGTGTGTGTGTGTGTGTGTGTGTGTGTGTGTGTCTTTCATTGATCCAGAAGTTCCTTTGGTGCCAAAGGGAAATCATCTCCATAACATTTCCTAGCAATTCACCTTCAATTCAGGGAAAAAGACTTGCTTGGAAGTTGCTTTCAAAGATGGAGAATTTCAAAGAAATCCTCATGGGCACAATTTGGCATTCATGAACTTATTCATCAGTGGGGTGGCCTGAAAAGTGTTCAGTCATCCTTCTAGTGGTCTGAAGGCTCCTTGGCTCTCGATGGTTAAATCTTAAGGGAAGGCAACGTACGGGAAATTGTTCCATTCAGCTTTTTCACATCAGAAAATGAGGACAATAAGGAAAATTTCAAAGTACTGGATCATCTTGAAACAGAAAACTAACACCAGCAGTATCATCTTCTGCCATATTCCACAATAAAATATGTTCAAAAACACTACTGAGAAGTTGAAAAGAAAAAATATATATATCAAAGAAACATTAAAATACAGTAATAAAAGGAGAGCTTTTTGCAAGGAAAGGTCATTTCAGAAACTAACTGAACACAACATTGATTTGTCTAAGTGAACTGATTGTTGGAAATGCAACCCTTTTTATAAGGAAACTATCCTGGTTAAAAATGCAAATCTAGTTATTAGCACAGTACCATACAGGAAGTCCTTAACTTGCAACCATTCATTTACTGACCACTCAATGTTACTTGACCACTCAACGTTACAACAGTGCTGAAACAAGTGACTTACGACCAGTCATCACACCTGATCATCACAGCATCCCCTTGGTCACATGATAATGATTTGGGCAGTTGGCAATCATCACACATTTATTTATTTATTTATTTATGAGACTTATATACCGCTTTAAGTGCAAGCACTCTCTAAGCAGTGTACACCAGTAAGCAATGTATATATATATATATTTACATTGCCCCCAACAATCTGGGTCCTCATTTTACCTACCTCGGAAGGATGGAAGGCTGAGTCAACCTTGAGCCGGTGAGATTTGAACCGCTGACCTGCTGAACACAGTCAGCTAAAGTGGCCTGCAGTACTGCACTCTAACTGCTGCGCCACCTCGGCTCCATTTATGACAGTTGCAGTGTCTGGCAGTCATGTGATTGTCATTTGTGACCTTCCCAGCCAGCTTCCAAGAAGCAGTTAATAGAGAAGCTGGCAGGAAAGTCACAAGTTGCAGTGACATGATAATCTCACTTAACAACCCCAGTTAATCATATATAATGACCACAGCAAAAAAGGCCGCAAAATCAGATGCTGCCATGTGATGCCTCACTTGATGACCACAAAGTTTAACAATCAAGGATAGATCTACGACAACTCACCATAGCCAACTTGCCATGATCAACTCACCACAGCCAACTTGCCATAATAGCCAACTTGCTGTGGCCAGCTCACTGTGGGATAACTTGCTGCAGGACAAGAATTACATTAATATCAAAGAAATTGTGGAATAGAATCATTAAAGAAAGGATGCCAAAGGAGGGACCAAATGAAATGTGAAGGACAAAAATTAAAATATTTTAAAAATTATTTTAAATAATTAAATTAAATTGTTGCATTGTCCCGCAGGGAATTGTCCCATGGTGAGTTGGCCATGGTGAGTTGTCCCACTTCGGTCAAGGACTACCTGTAGTGACTAATTCCAAGTGATGATGTCTCTTTTTCTTCCCTTTCCATGCTTGATAGTTGACAACATGACAACTCAGATTAAAAGTATATAAAATAGTCTATCTTCCTTTAAATATACCAGTGGCCCAAACATGCCTGAAGAAATATGGGAATTTAGGTCAAAATAGGATTTCAAAAGCAAATACTCCAGATGACTCAATATTTCTCAAAGGCATATGTACAGAATTCCTGAAAGGGGGAGAGGGAAGGTAATGCTAAACATCTAAATGCTTCAGAGCACATGGAAAAGCAAATTTAGTAGCACCAGTCTCCAACTCCTTAAAGCACCCACATCTTCTCTGGGAATCTCATAAGGGCCCTGAGTAGCTGCCACAGGGGCCTGGGAAAACACTGAGCTATTTTAAAGAATTCCAAACAGGTTGATTACATGCCAACAGGCTAGTGTTAGCTTTCAACAATATAGCTAGATTTTCTCCAGGAACTTGGTCCCCAAACTAGGCTTCAGATTTTGCATCATTGCTGTAACTATGTCCATCCACTTGCAGCTGACCATCTCTTTTTCTCTTTCCTTTCCCAAAATTATAGACTTCTCCAGAGAGCTAGGTTTTTTTTTTTTTTTTTCATAATATGCCCAAAATATCATAATTTGAGCATGGCCATTTGTGCCCTGAGTGAGAACTTTGGATTTGATCCAAAATATTTTTTGGAATAGAATCCAAAACACTGCACTCATTCCTTGGTTATATAAAACTTGGTATACAAAGCAACTTTCTTCGTTATGTTACTCCATGCTACTCGTACTATTATTAGATGGTCTTAAAACAGCAACAACAAAAAAGAAACAAGATTAGGACTGTCTATGCATAGTGTGAGCCCTTACAACACTTGAAACAGAATCCGACAGGCTTCAAAATCTGTAATGGTAAACTCTACGCAACACACGACCTAACCAAAATGCAAAACCTAACAAGCAGTGAGATGCTAAGGGGCTCTTGCAAAGAGTAATATAATGAATGAAACAAGACCTAGT